CTTGAAAAAGACCATAAGTGACCCATACTGACCTATATGCAACAACAACGGGTTCTCATCGGATGGCCTCTGACTGGCCAGGATCACTCAATACTTTGAGACCTTGCGAGACGTGGCGGCCAACAACCGCTGCTTGGTGATGCAAGAGGGGACTCCGTTCGTCGAAGTGAGCCGTGCCGGTGTTAGATCGGTTTCAAACCGACGGTCGTGGTCCCGTGGGTGCGAGACGTGGATCAAAAAGATCAAAGGTCGAGAGAGCTTCTTTTTTCAGATGTTGCTGTGATGTTTTGATGGTGGATTTTTCGAGTAGATGGCACGCCCGGGCCTGTGGTTTCATGTCGGTGGTTTCATGTGGTTTATATGGACCCCCATTTGTCTAAGACATCTTTTTTTTTCTGCCAGTGCCATTTCGAACCTCTGGAACCGCTGTATGTTTTAAAGCCACCTGTTTCCTCACGCCTTGGAACGATGGTGATTTGGTGGGTCCAGCTGTTCCTCGACCATTCCAGCGGTTGACGTTGTCGAAAGCATCATCTCCATGTTCGTCGTCGACCCACCGCGATGGTTTTCACCACCAGGAAGACCCTCGGAAGTCTGGCCAGTTGCTTCGTTGGATTGGCTTGCCCTCCTCATCTCATCCAATCAATGAAGATTTGAATGCATGCTCACGTACAGATTTGAGCTTGACCGCAGGTGCACCTTTTCGCAGTTCAAAAGTATCGCTACCAAGTCAATCTCTGTCCAATTGGACTTCATCCGCTGAAGTATATCGCCTTCGGTGGAAGCTCCGGGACCGTGCCAACGCTGTCGACGTGCACGTGCTGCGTGTGACGCACCTTCCGTGTTAACATGTCTAACCCTCCCCAACGAAACGAAGACGGTGAAGCCTCCTGGGTCTACCTCCTGCCTGCTAGCAGCATCCCTGAAACTTTACCTTTTGTTCTTTCTTCCTTCTTTTGGACTTTAGACATTCATGTTCGCGATATATCCATATTAAATCTTGTCTTTCTATTGCTTTTCGACTTTTGGACTTTCATTCTTCCAGGTGTGTTCCATCCATTTCTTCGTCGATTCCGATCCCATCCGTTCTCCCCTCTTCACCGTTCCTGGGCCACGTTGACGTCAGCGGTTTGAGGCTCCAGCACGGTCTTCTTGCCGAGCGGACCTGGCGCTGTGGGCGATGTGTCTCGGACCGTCGTTCCACCGGACCGCGGGCAACGGTGGACGATGTGGGAGGGTGGACATGGTAGGAACGAGCATGAGAATTCAAGCCGGCTGTATACATGGGGCCTTGAAAGAACTTTCTGTAGTCTTTCAGGAGGCGCTCTCTAGAAAGGCCGGAGTTGGCGATGACGAGATGATAGAATGAAGGGCCGAAACACATCGAAAAACAAGCAATGGCACTTGGGAGCGGAGTTCCTGGTGTTTGAGGCTTCGCTGGACTCCTTTGAGGGCACTCACAGTGTGCAGTTCAAGATGCCATGATGCCCAACATAGCTGTTGCTCAGTCAGACCTTCTTTCACGTCAGACCAGAGTTGCTCCACTGATCCACCGGTGTCGGGCCCTTTCGGCCGTTGGTGTCGGGCCGAAAAGGCCGGCCGTGACACCCGCCAGACTCACAACGAGAAGCCTCCCTGCCTGGCCAAGTCAATCCACCCGAAAAGGCTCGTTCACGAGACTCCAACTCCAAAATCAAACAACCTACTGGAAAAGACGATGAAAAGACTCAGACCACTCCACAACATCAATCACAAAAAGTTCGAAAGGAGAAACCATCCAACGGACCCAACCCACTGCACCGCACCACGCCACCCTTCGAGGTCTCCGCGCAGATTCGCAATGGGCTCCTGACCGGTGCCGCGGGCGCGCCAGGGCAGCTCACCATGTGAGGCGCGACGCTGGTCGCTGGTTCGAAACCGTGGGAGGATCCGGATGGAACACGTTTTTTTTTTTTTTTCCCCCAATGGTGGTGGCCTTTTTCTATAGCCGATTCTACTTGAAGTAGGTCACCAAGGGTTCGACCTGAGACAGGGTCAAAAAAAAAACCCTCAACGAACAGCCTGGCCAGGAGGGTCCAGGTATATCAGACCAATGATGTTTGTTTCCAAAATCTCAAAAACACCTCTCAAAAACCTGTTCCATGTAGAGCCGGCCTCGGCAGGCGCGTAGACGGCCGGGTCATTTCGAGCACGATTTTTGCAACTTCCCGCAGGGCCGCTGGGGAGAGTATATGACATTATGAGAGCATTGCATTTGCCATAAGCATTTTCTTAGGTAGTTTTCATGGCTTTGATCAATGATGTAGAAAATGTATTCATCGACTCAACATGTATTCATCGATTATATAGTCGTGTATTTTAAATCGGGTGAGGTCGGGTGGGGGGTGGGGCCATCGCTTTTTTCGGTTGGAGGCCATCTAGTAGAACAGTAACAAGAAGCTACGAACGTCACAAGCCTTTAGGGATCCAGTCGTACCTTCTCGGTTCTCAGATCATGGGAGACGGCGTTGACGGAGACGGCGCCGCCCGGGTCGGGCTAGGCCCAACCGGCCCAGTCGACCGTACCGAACCTGAGAAGGTGGCAGTGGATCCCTAGGGAAGGCGATATTTCTTCATCAAGAGTCTACATGAACAGCGCCTTCGGACCCACATCTAGTCCGGCTTAGTCGGGTGGATTACGCACCGTGACCGCCCAGGTGAACCCCACAGGCGGTCGGGGACTATGAACGAAGCACGGTCGGGTCTTTGCTCTGCAAAGTGCAGGGGCGAAAAGAAGAAAAAGACCACGAGAATCCCTTTGAAAACCCCATGCGAGACTGCTTAGCGGGAAAGACTTGGAGACTGTCTGACAGACCGCTTTTCTCCATCTGTTGTGGACAGACCTTAAACCACGTGGGTCTCCGTCTGATCTGTTCTGTTTGATGCCACAGCGTTCTGGTTGAGGCCACCGATCTGCTCACAGATGACGCATTTATGGACCTGAGAGCCACGTGGAACAGACTCTCAGCCAGAGAGACCCTGCTAGGGCATGGCCGACCGGGCCAAGCAAAGAACGATGTGGACCTTGGGATTCCAACTCATTCCAACTCACCATGAATTTATATAGTGGGCCTGAATCCCGAACAAGCATGGGTGTTCTAGGGATTTTGCGCTTGCATGCACTTACAACACCAGATTGTTCCCACTTTTAAAATGGTGTTTGAAGGCTGGGGTTGAGACAAGTAGGGGATGGTGGGAGATTCCGTAGAGTGAGGGTTTGACAGTTGCTTTTGAACCTTTTTTCTCCAGCAGGTGATTTTTTTCATGGTCTACATAGACTCTTGCTTCTTGTTTTGGGAGCCAGGAAGCAGATTCCAAAGACTTCCGAACGTTGGCCAGTGAGGCCAGCTGCAAGACCTTTCATTGTTTTCAGATTTGTCGTTGACCCGAAAGGGAGGATGAGCGCCACCCGGACGGCCCCTTGCGGGGAATTGGCATGCAGCCTTCACTGACTTGGTCAGCCAGCCGCCGCATCGCGCTGAACATTCCAAGAAGCGAAGATGGAACGAACATGGGATAGACATGGACTTAGGACCCGTCTTTAGGCTATTCCAGCACAGTTGTACTTCAATGGTCTATCCTAGGTGTGAGGGCTCGTTGAAATTTGGAGTCTCTCTACCCCTCAATGGGTGTTCCCTTTTTGGTAGCCTGAGTACTATGCAGCCTTCGTCCAACGTCCCAATGCCTGCGATGCTGCGAGCTCTGATCAAGTCAGCGAATCGGCGTTTCAGATGTGCGTTTTGGAGCGGCCAGGAAGAGCGCTTTGGAGCGTTTTGGGTCGGAACCGAATGTGAGTATGGAGGGTTCACTCGACCCTTGTCGAAGGTGTCGAGTCCAACCCCTGCCATCAAAGCCCAAGGATTCTTAGGGTCGGCCTTCAGTATGTTTAGACTCTGGACATTTCAACGCTCCCCCCCTCAAAGAGATGGTCAAACCGAGGCCGGCCTTAAGTGGCTGGGGGGGGGATTAACCTCGAAACCCAAAGAACCAGTCAGGAACTTAATTATATAAAACACAAATGAAGCAATCAAGAGTCTACATCAGATGTGGAGGGACGATCAACGACTCATCCGTCCACTTGCTTTACTAAGCTCATCAGCTTAGAGAGTTCAAGGCATAGGAGTCTGAACCAGCATCATGGGTAACATAGGGGTAGTTACTGGGTAGTTCCTTTGCAAAAACCAGATCTATGTTGCATGCAAACTGCAGGCAGCCTTCTGGCAGCTTTCAAAGCAACAAGATACCTTCTGATGACTGATTTGCTACAATTCCCAGCAGATACACTTTGTGTGAAACCAGGATTTGACCAGCAGTACTGCCCTCCTTCTCTTCGAAGCGGCAGTACAAAATTGGGTTATTTTCTTTCATGCAAGGGTCATAACTACCGTGCTTCTCGGCTGTTTGAGAAGGATTCTTGGTCAACCTGGTCGCTTCTGGCCACGTCAAGGCAGCACTAAGTCCGCTTCACAAATGATGAAGCATTTTGCTGATCTGACGCCACTGAGACGAACACGAAGTACGAACGTCACCCTTGTGTAGCAAAAAGCCGGAAGAGCCATCGCCTGCAGGCCCGCTAGGCTAGTGAGTGGCTAGTGTTATGATCGACATACACACTTCTGCCGAGGATTTGTGTCACCAATCAAAAGCTTTGGGGCGCTTTGGGTGCTGTTGCTTCGATTTTTAGAAGTCAAGTTCTGATTTGTCCGCGCTAGTCGTATCAGCGCCACTGGGTTCCGTTGCGTCACGGGTCATGTTCCCTTGGCGTCGGTTGGGTCATTGGGGGTGCGTGAAATTGGGGGTGCCAAGAGGACCATTTAAAAAATGCTCTTTTCCGAAGGGTCACCCTAGGTCGAAGACCCTTTGCTTCGGTCGTTTCCTGGACGGGAAGCAGTCGGGTTTTGGTCACCCTTCGCACCGAACAACGGCCCGGGCCATCAAGACGGATGCGCGGAGACCCGCAGGCCATCAAAACGGATGCGCCCAATCATGTGGCTGGCGACTCAGTGAGCCGAGCAGACCCGTTGAGCGGAGCCTTTGGCAGACGGAGAACTCAGGTTGTTTGATTGATTCGATGGCATCATGGGTCTTAGTGAGGGTCCTGTTCCCGAGCTGTTTGATATTGTTAGATGACATCATGGGTCCTGTTCATTCTTTGATCAGCTTCAGGATTGGACGCCGATTCTGTTCCTTCGAGATGAATGGCAGACCGTGGTTTCGTTGTTTGCCGAGCGAGTACTGAGTACAAGAGTCAGTGTTTGGACGAAATAACAAAGCGGTACGCATATGCTGCCACCATTTTCGGGTGCGTTCTTGTTGTTTTCTCTTATTAAGCGAGAAATTGGATCAGATCCTGTCAAAATTAACCAATATCAGGAGAAGCTTGCAGTGACAATTGCAAAACACAAACAGTACCCACTTCACTTTCCATCCTCTCAATTTCATGTGAGCAGACACGCTGTCACGCTTCCCGGGTGGCAACCTCTCTGAACCACCTCCAGCTTCGCTTCCGCTTCCCTGGACGCCTCCGTTCGCTTGATTCACCATCGGTCGTCTTCCGACCACGAGCCTCGACCTCGGTCGTTGGCTCCGGTCGTCGAGGTCTTCGACTTATTGCGGCTTTGGGCAGAGGAGCACCCGCCCACGTGACTCGGGCACGACACGCGACCACGCGACACACGACCTGCACACAAAGAGGACGGACCCGGCGAAGCGGAGGAGCGAGCGGGGAGTAGGTCGAAAGCATGTGGACATCCGCATCAAAGCAGCTCATGTAGGCTATTAACCCTCCCATAGATGAGGAGGTTTTTCAATTCCAATGGGCGGGTTTATGAATCAAGAGTCTAGCAACGTTCGCAGTTGCCTGGGGGTTCGGACGAGGCTGCCAGGATGCGTTTTTCGCTCACAAACCTTTTCATCAGTAAAACGGCCTCAGACTTCGTTCGGTCTCAGACTTCGTGAACCACGAGGCCACGATTTGAAGGTCGTTAAAAAAGGAAAACAAGATGGAGCCCACGAACCCGAATGCAAACACGTTCAAAAAGCTACATATGTCCAAATGACACTCTTGTAGGACACTCTTGTGGGACACTCTTGCGGGTCACTCTTGTAGGAAACTCTTGTGGGACACTCTTACGGGACACTCTTGTGGGACACTCTTGTGGGACACTCTTGTGGGACACTCTTGTGGGACACTCTAGTAGGAAACTCTTGTGGGACACTCTTGTAGGACACTCTTGTGGGATACTCCTGTAGGACACTCTTGTGGGACACTCTTGCGGGACACTGTTGCGGGACACTCTTGTGGGACACTCCTGTGGGACACTCATTTGGGGCACTCTTGTGGGACACTCTTGTGGGACACTCTTGCAGGACACTCTTGTGGGACACTCTTGTAGGACACTCTTGTGGGACACTCTTGTCGGACACTGTTGCGGGACACTCTTGTGGGACAATCTTGAGGGACACTCTTGTGAGACACTCTTGCAGGACACTGTTGCGGGACACTCTTGTGGGACACTCCTGTGGGACACTCATTTCGGACACTCTCGCGGGACACTCTTGTGGGACACTCTGGTAGGACACTCTTGTGGGACACTCTTGTGGGACACTCTTATAGGACACTCTTGTAGGAAACCCTTGTGGGATACTCTTGTAGGACACTCTTGTGGGACACTCTTGTAGGACACTCTTGTGGGACACTCTTGTAGGGCACTCTTGTGGGACACTCTTGTGGGACACTCTTATAGGACACTCTTGTTGGACACTCTTAACTCTTGTGAGACACTCTTGTGGGACATGGTTGCGGGACACTCTTGTGGGACACTCTTGTGAGACACTCTTACGGGACACTCTTGTAGGACACTCTTGTGGGACACTCT